AACACTAAACAGCAATCAAATAGAAAATCAGACCTCTCATGCCACACCCACCTGTCACATCCTCTCTTTTTAAAAATACTTTACAACTAATGTTACCAGGATGTAGTGAAATATTCAAAAGATCTACCAGAGCACAATAGCTTTTGGGTTGGGAAACATTGGACTAGAGAGTAACATTTTCGTATAAGGCCTACTTGAAAATGAAGGATTAGTACAGCATTTTTTTAGGGGAGGGGAGAAAACTTCTACAAGAAGAAAATAACTTCTTAACTGAAAAAATAATAATAATTGCCACCCATGTTTCTTGTCATAAATGCATTTTCCTTGAAGCCACATATTTTATATAAGCAGGGTTAAAACAACCTGTTATATATGTATATCATCATAGTATTCCAGATAAAAGTACACAGTGTGTGTGAGTAGAGATTCAAAATAAATACACAAGCTAGCTATCAGATAGGATGCTTAGTTAACTTACCTTATTAACATGTTTCTAAGGGCAAGAAAATCACAGTGTTCCATGTTTTCCACTGAAAACAAAAAGAACAAAGTAATAAATCAATTATAGATCAAAATTATCATGTTCAACAAACAATAACTTTACCAAGTATCTCATATCCCCAAAGTTCTTCTGTGAAATTTTATCCACAAAATTAATTTTTAGGATTACATTGTTTTCAAAGAAATTTGCAACAACACACCTATGGCTTATGCAGCAGTGTTAATGTAAAATAATACTGTAAAAGTTTTTCAAATACAAAGAGAAATAAATGTAACCCACTCACCTTCAGCTACACCCCAAGGATATCGCCGACCCCTAACTCTTTTTCCATTGGATTCTACTATTACATTACTTCCCACAACTGCAAATGGTATTCGATCCTATAAGTATATACCCATACCCAAAGAATTTATAAAACCTTATCATAACAAAAGGAACATCCTTCATTGTTTTATACATGTCAGTTTTTTAGCATATATATATATATAGAAAATTTCAACTTTAAGTTACATTCAAAAATAACAGTAGCTTTAGAATTTAAAAAGATACTTTAAAGATAATATTTTCATCCATTCCACAATGACAAAACACTTAAAAGATGTAGATTTTCACAAATGACACTAATTGAAATATCCTTCTAAATACATTAAAAAAATATTCACAAAAAATACTTGCTAAGCAATTAGTAACAGAATTATGAAAACTTTTAATTATCTTTAAAGAAAACAGAAATTCTTTAGGTTAGAAAACATTCATCCTGTAGCTTCAACAGACTTGCTTAAGACAGCTAAAAATAACTTTCTAGTAAAGTTTTATTGACATCAAAGTATTTTCAGTATGTTTCTTAATTTATTCTGCTAGCTATCATTTCACATTTATTATTTTTCTCATTACCTCTGGTAACTTTTTTTTTTACTTTTTTATTTTTCTTGTTACCTCTGGTAGCTTTCTTTTTTTTCACATTTTTTATTTTTCTTGTTACCTCTGGTAGCTTTTTTTTTTACATTTATTATTTTTCTCATTACCTCTGGTGGATTTCTTTTTTTACATTTTTTAATTTTTCTTGTTACTTCTGGTAGCCTTCTTTTTACATTTATTATTTTTCTCATTATCTCTGTCGGATTTCTTTTTTTTAAATTTTTTTATTTTTCTTGTTACTTCCGGTTGCCTTCTTTTTACATTTATAATTTTTCTCATTACCTCTGGTGGATTTCTTTTTTTTATATCTTTTTTTTTTTATTTTTCTTGTTACTTCTGGTAGCTTTCTTTTTACATTAATTATTTTTCTCGTTACCTCTGGTAGCTATCTTGTTCCTTCTACAGCTGTCTTTTTACATTCTTGACACATTTTGTTAATCCTTTTGTTTTTCTCATTAAGTATTGTATTTTAATTATCTTGTTACATTCATTATTCATTTTGCTACATCTGTTAACCCTCATTTTGTTAATTACTTATTTTTTATCTTGTTATAATCATTCCTCATCTTACTGACCTTAAGAGGTTTCTGAAGTTTATTCTCTTCTTCATCTTCACAGTCTGGGAACTCATAAATTCTGATTTCATTTTGTGCTATTTCATTAAGTACCTGAAAAATATAAGAAAAATGATAAATTCAAGTTACAAAAAATTTTAAAACACAGGAAACACTAAAAATACACAAGTTTTTTGAGAACAACTTCAAATTGACATTTTTGGGAAACACAAAAGCACATATCCAATAACAGAATAAACACACACACACACATAAGATAAAGATACTTATTCCTCAAACTTCTTCCAGTCAAGAGGTTTATTTTTAAGGGTGATATTACCCATCAAAATAAAAGAAATTCAAGGCATTTGAGCCTTTTACTCTAAGAAACATTAAAATATATTTTTAATTTCTGTGCACGTTCAAGATACAAAACAAAAGCAACATAATCTTAATCCAATACGAAGTTTTGCTTAATTGCTAAAAACCTGAAGTAATAACATTAAAGGTTTGAATGCACTACAACAATTAAAATATAATGATTAATATCCTGTGTCACCTTGTGGTTAAGAAAAGCTCATTTGTTCTTCATTTATTAAAACTTGCCAGGTAATTTTCTTTATCTGATATTAGTTGTTTTATCTTATCTCACTCAGCATAATCACAAATCCTGACAGTTGGTAAAATGCACTGAACTTGTGTTTGCAAAAGAATAAACATGACTTAAGAAAAAAACTGTGCTAATAGTTGTCAGAGTTGCATTAAAAATACTATAGTTGGAACTGTTAATAACTTTCTCTAAAATAAAGGTTTGTAATTGTAAAGTGCTTTATTCAGAAAAACAAACATTTTTACAATCTAACAGTTAGATATACATTATAAATCATATGTCTGGTTGTGTATAAAACATATCATGCTTAACAGCTGTGATAGTTGACAGCAGGATGGCATGGATAGAGGATGGAGTTATACTAATTAAAAGTATTGGTGGGAAAATTCTAGTACATTTTTTAACCTCTACAGCTATGGTTTGTTTTCTACTGTCTAACTAAATTGGATTATATAATACTACAATGGGGGCTGGAATGCCAACATTACAAGATTAGTGTTTACTTATCACCCTCCAATAGTATTTTTTCCCTCTTGAGCAACTACCTTCTCACAACTGGCTGCAGACAGAAAAAGGTGGCAAAGATGTGGGATGTTGCGAGTTAAAGCACCCACATCTGCCTTTTTTCTTTCTTTTCAGACTGTGAGGCGAGAGAAATAGTCTCATATTTTGTGCATCCCAACCATTATGTGGGTCCTATTTTTTCATACACCTCCAAAACCAGGGTACATTTTACATTTTTCTATCGTGTGACTTAAGTCCTGGTGTTAAGCTGTGTTACATCATTTTATTACAGCACTTTTTTAAAAATGGTTTTGTACTTTAATTTCATAACTGTTTATCATCAAAGGTTTGGTCAGGCTGTTTTAAATGTTTACCTTCCTTTCAGTGTAAAATTTAACTCAACATGTTCAAAATATTTTGTAGTTTTAGATAGAAGATTTCACAAGTATGGGTTTGTGCTTTTTTTCAAGGAATCTTCAACTGTAAATGTGCAAAGGATATAATTTCAATGATAAAAGAAATGTGTACTTTTCTATTACTCACTGTTTTTTTTGAACTGATTACATTCTTCTGGAGTCATTGTATCTGCTTTAGCGATGAGAGGAATGATATTAACTTTCTCGTGGAGTCTCTTCATGAACTCTATGTCTAATGGTTTCAAACTAGAAGAAATATTTTAATTGACAGCAATTACCAATTTTTTCTTATAGAATAAAATTTACTGATATTTCGATGAATTAACAACTTTTTAATAAAATATTTCAATTGACAGCATTTGCCATAAATTTTTCTTTTTCGTAAAAAGACAACCTTTTACTCAAGATGAGAAAATAAAATACATTTATATATATTTTCCAATGTTTTAGTTTTGTATCTCTGTCACAGGGGCTGGAAAATGCTGACAGAAAAACAACACTTGGGATATTTTTATGTATTTAAATATACACCATAGCATATTTTTCTAATATTATAGTTATAGTAAAAAAATTAATTGTTGACTTTCAAAACAATAGTTGTGAAAGAAGAGAGAGAGCAATATATAAATAATCATGAACAGCTACATACATGGTGCAAAACCTGGTGTAAAATATCAGAATTATGAAATAAATATCTTGATTAACACATATACATTACTAACATAATAAAAGAATTTGGAGCAAACTGTTTCTTGAAAACTGTATAAATACCATCTTCAATCTTGGTTAATTTTGGATTTTTTGGCCTGTGAATTGCTATGATATTTTAATGGTACATGTATTTCAATTTATATAAATCTCCTGGGCATTATTAATAACTGTCATCTATGATTAAGATGTGAACTGTAAAACTAAAACATTAGAAAATAAATATATTTTTTCTCACATCTGTAACTAGAGGTTATTTATTCACAAATACTCCAGTCAATGCTGCATACTTCAAAAATATAAAACATTATTAGTCTTATTGTGATGTAATGTCACAAACTGTTCATCAAAAAAATAATTTTGAGTGACAAATTTGTTTCTATGAAATAAAACATATTCTTCTGATTTATGACATTAGATGTTTCCAACATGAATGTGTAAACAAAGTCCTTACTTTACAAAACTTACCCATGTCCTGGACTGATGAAATAAAGGCAACAATGAACTCGTGAGTCTACGATAGCAGTACGGTGGACTCTTGACTCAGCATTCAGAAAGTCTTCATACTTAGACTCTATATAGTCTATTATAGGATACCAACTACAAAAAACAATGGAATTATGGTTTGTTAGACCTATCATGACAATGTTTGTTTGTCATGATTAAAACTTCACTCTCAAAACCACTGTTTAAATAGTAAATATTCTCGAACTGATATAATTTGTTGTATGTTACACCACCCAACAAGCAAAAATAATTTATAAATCTGAATTATTACTATGAACTACAGTTATATGAGATGCCATGTGCATTAGGCCTACTTTTTTGATGCAAATGAAAGTTTTTAATACGATTAAACTAGATATTGAAGTAGTTGTAATACAATGTTGAGAATTATTCTATTACTTTGTGTCTTTGTAAAACTGCTAAGGTAAAACTTACCATTCACTATTATCTACAGCATCTCCAAAGCCTGGAGTGTCTACAATGGTTAGTGTTAAATTCACCCCATTTTCGTGCAGGAAGACTTTGTTTGTTTCCACCTGTGTTAGAAATAATCACATCAAAACATGTGAATGGTAGAATCTTCCATAAATAATTCAGTTTATGTTTTATTAATTAATTAGTTTTTTTATTTAGATAATTTATTAACCTATATCATAAAATTTAGATTTGTTTATCATCAGGAATTATCAGATTGTGATTGAAACTTATAATATAATGCAAAAAAAAAAAAAATATATATATATAACATGTCCACTTGCCAGTACTAATATTTTACTATGAAGTAGTTTTTCCCAACACTATTGAACATTGACTAGTGACAAGTACAACAATGTAACTATATATATAGTAACATCCATTGTTTATAGCATTAACTTGTAACAATGAATTTAAAAACTAAATTATTATGAGTTTAATAAGCCATTAACGCAAAAACAGTGTGCTTACTTTTCTAAAAAAAAAACACTACTACCTGTTATGTGTTAAAAAGTGAACAGAAAAATAAATAGCGTAAAATAATATCTTAAGTCAACGACAGATGTCGTACCACGACTTAGTACAATTGAAGTACATTTTCGTGTAATATCCAAACGAATAATTATACTGTACTAATAGTGTACTGATTGTTGGTTTGTTATTAAGCAGAAATTTTTCCAATGAGCTAGCTCTGCTTTGTCCACCACGGATATCAAATTTCGAATTTTAGGGTTGAAAAGTCTTAGCTTAGCCTGATCCATTAAAAGGCTATATATTGATTTAATATAGTAAGTTTCTGGATGATACTTATTTTTTTCGTGAAACATTTCTAGTACTTCTGAAATCTTTATCTAAAAACTAATTACAGCTGAGTAACCTGATTAATTTTTTTAAAGCGGAAATGGTAACTTTTCATTTCAATCATTTAACTTATTGTACAAAAAAATTCTATAAGAGTTTTTCTATAGTAAACGAAAAACTTTGCTATTAGGTGTACTGCAGTTTTACGATTAAATGAGAAAAAATGATATATTCGACGATTTCTGGAATTCTATATAAACACAGTAAAAAATAAAAGTGGCCCGAATAGCATCGAATCAAATTGTCAAGATACTGACGTACTTACCGTGAGATAGATACCACAAGTCATCAGCAGTGAAGCTTAATCTAGCCAAAAGAGGAAAAGATATAATGGAGAAACGTCATCCGTGGCTTCCGCTGGACTAGTACGAATCGACAATAATACCTACGTGATGCACGAGCTGCCAGCTGCTTTTATGAATCGGACACGAAATCTAAAAGTTTCTTTCTAGACCTCTTAATGGACAAGTGCAGTAGAGCTTAGAATGAGAGTTTCTCCAGCAAGATACTGGCCTACACGACACACACGTATACATAATATAGTTAAGTTACAGCAGGTGAGGGAGTTCCCATCACAAATGTACACCAAGTGTAAAAAAATATTTATGATTGCTATTTTTTGCGCAAGTTAAATTTTTCTTGCCTTTATATTATACCGTATCAATAATACACCTATCTACTGATCTATCTACTTATTTGTTTAAATCTAAGGATACTGGGTCACCCTATTTCAAAGGCAATTTAAACAGAATACAAATCACTTGAATGATTTTTCTATGGACCGTATATAAGCAAAATACGTTGGATTGTAAATATTTTAATACAGTGCTCTAAGTGTCCGTTGTTATCTGTCACGACTGATATGAACCATGTGATTCACATGTGCGTCATTTGTCAAACTCACCACCACTTTCAAAGTTCATCTAGTTCCTTATTCCCGCCATCTATGTTCAATATTGTTTAATTCAGTGATTTTCAAACTTGTTTGTTCGCGGACCACAACAGGATTTGTCCATTATGTATACAACCATTCCACGATACACGTGCGAAGGGTGCCCGCGCACCACTAGAGATTCGCTGACCATAGTTTCTGATTGTTAAATTTCGCACAAAACTTGTTTGTTTGTTTGAAGTTAAGCACAGAGCTACACAATGGGCTATCTGTGCTCTGCCCACCACGAGTATCGAAACCCGGTTTCTAGCGTTGTTGGTCCACAGACATATCGCTGTGCCACTGGGGGGCACGCATAAAACTACTCGAGGGCTAGTTATCTGCGCTAGCCGTCCCTAATTTTGAAGTGAAAGACTAGAAAGAAGATAGCTAGTCAACACCACCCACCGCAAACTCGTGGGCTACCTTCATCGAATAGTGGGGTTTGACAATCATTCTTATAACGCTTTTACTGCTCCAAAGTGCGGAGCGCGATTATATTTTTTTTTTTTGGCGTTAAGGGCGCGAACTAAGGAACCTCAGATCCACAGTCCAAACACGCTTAGCCCCCGCCAATCAAAGATTGAGAACCACTGGTTTAACTTATGACCTTTCGTAATGGACTACCTCGATGTGTCAGTGGTATGTTTTCAGACTTACAATGCTAAAATCCGTGTACCTTTGCGCTTGAAACAACAATTCTCAGTCGAAAATATTCAGTATAGCATTTTATTTTGTTACAAACTCAATAATTCACCGCCACTGTGTTAACAAACAAAAAAATTACGATTATCTTAACTTTGTAGCAATCACAAAGATTTAATCCTTCCATTTAGGTTAAAACAGAAAAATAAAAATACTCGATAAATAATGATATTTCAACAAGAAACAAATTTCACTAATGTACGACTTTTTTTTTTACTTCACCCAATATATCTTACAATCTACGCCTCTCTCTCCGTTACAACTAAAATAGCTAGAGCACTGAATGACGTATCATTTGGAATATTATTTTTTCCTTCTGTCACCAAAATTCAAATTTTTAAAATGCCCAGTTCAAACAGTCGTATTATGGGTCTAGCCCTCCCGTCCTTTAGGTTCGCAGATCTTTATTGTTGAAATTCTTATTACAACACTTTTTTAAATACACTAAGTGTAAAAAGTTTACACCGCTATGTTATGGGCCTAACTCATCCGTCCATTAGGTTTACAGATCTTTATTGTAACGTTTCTCATATACACTGTTGTACACTAAGTTCCAATTTAAGTTAGTGTTGCTGAGGCTTACTTGTTCGTATGTCTTTGGCACTAAGTGCGTCACAGATATCATAAACATGCAGGAAATAAAACACATCTTCAACAGTACTGAGAAGTCCCTTTGACCATTGTAAAGTATCTAAAAACATGTTAAAATCTTTATAGTTGTTACAAAATAAAACATGATATCCCTTCATTAGTACTGAGAAATCCCCTTGAGCATTGTATCACCATCTGGAAACAAAATCTTTATAGTTGATACGAAGTAAAACATAACATCCATTCAAATTCGATGACGAGGAACCCACTTTGAGACTAATAATGGCTAGAGACGGCTTGAATGGATAATGCAGAAAAACTTTATATAAGTTTAACATAACAGCAAATATATACGTACTACGTACGTACGTGTAGACAACTTAACGTTAACGTAACGTTAACTACGTTACGTTACGTACGTTACGTTAGTT